TGTGTGTCCAGCTCAGCCCACCAGGGGGCGGGGCTGGCTGGCATGTGGTGCTGGGGGATCGAACTGCAGTCCCTGTGCTTTAGCCAAGCTTGTTCCAAGTAGGTGCTTCAGACCACTGAGCCATCTCGCCAGCCCAACACTGACATTTTCTAATATGGATTAGAACTATGGGGCCCTTCCCTCCTCCTTCAGTATTGGGGAATGAACAGAGAATCAAGATGTTCTTAAGAGGATTTCAAGCAGCCCTTTATACAAAGGACAACTGAACCAGAAAGCACCTGCCTAAGTAACAGCAAATAGCTTTTCTTTCCAGTCCAGTTAGGATAAATATAATGGGAGAGGCAGGAACGAAAAGCTCAGTGCTATGCAGTAAAAATATTATTACTATGGAGGCCCAAGAAATAGATACTCTGAGTATGATTCAAAGAGACTCAGCACCTAATCCCTCAAGAACATCAAGGAAATGTGCCACCTGATTTGGACTGATAATAACTCTGCCTCACACACACACAAGGGGCAACCTGAAATGGCTCGGATCCTACCTGAAATGGATAATTATACCAGCACTGTCGGGTGTCCCAGAACCAAGGAGACTAAGGAGAAAACATATAATTCAAGTTAGCTTTCAGGATTCTCACCTAGCTTGCTTCAAAATCTACCTTATATAAACAATCCTCTTCTCTCTAGTACAGGGGCTAAAGTAAGATAGGAAACAATAAAGAATCTCCTTTGATAGATTTTTAGGGATTCCTTTTTTTTTTCCTTTTCTTTCCCCAGACGGGATATTGCCATGTAGTTCAAGCTGGCCTTGAACTTACTATGTAACTCAGACTAGCCTTTTTTTTTGGGGGGGGGGATTTTAGGGAAGGGCCTACAGGCTGTTCAGGGTCTCACTACTAGATTAGACTCATAGTGATCCACCTGTTTACAACCTCCCAAGAGCTGGGATTATAGGTGTGCGCCACCACACCCAGTCTCTGCACCCCAGAAGCAGAGTCAGCACAGCAGACCGAGGGATCAAACCCCTGGCCCCTGCACCAGCTTGCAGGCACTTTAATCTGCTGAGCTATTTGGCCAGCCCAATTTCAGGGATTCCTAAAGGATCAATAAACAGCTAGATTTTCCTCCTATAAGAAAACATTATTAGAAATAGGAAAACCATGCACTGCAGTAAAGAAAAAGCAGGAGGAGCTCTAAGATAGTTTTAGGAGCATCACCTATGGGATGCAAATATAGGAAGTTAAGACAATGACTCCATCTAATAACCAAGAAGGCTCAAAAATAATCATCTCTACAATTACATATTTTTAAGAAGTTTGTTCATTTCATCTGTGCTGTTAAATTTACCATCAAACTTCTCACAACTGTTTCATTATTTTTTTAATAATGTCTATATTTTCTGCAGTGAAAGCACCACATCCAGTACTCTGTCTATTCTGAAGACTCAATTATAGCACTTAGGGTAAATAGTGTGGTACAGTGAAAAAAACGTAATCAAGAATTAATGCCAGCGGGGTTGGGGAGGTAAGTCAGTATCGTGGGTGCCTGCCTGGCAAGAGAAGGTCCTGAGTTTGATCCTGGCACCAAAACAAATAAACAAACAAACAAACACAAACAAGAATTAGTGCGGGAGAATGGGAAGACAGCTCAGCAGGAGCTGCATAGCAGGAGCTGCATAGCAAGACCCTGTACCAAACACATTAAAAAAAAAAAAAATTAATGCCAGGCATGGTGGTACATACCTACAATCCCAGCACTTGGGAGGCTCAGGCAGGAGGATTGCCAAGAGTTCAAGGCCAGCCAGGACTACGTAGGGAGACCCTGCCTCAATGCTTCCCACAAAAACAAAACCTCAAAATCAAAGATTTAAACTTTTTTTGTTTCTGGCGGAACTGGGGACTATCTCCCCAGTCCTCGAACTCTTTTTTGACAATTAGTTGAAAGTAGAAATAATACTTCCACTCACATTAAAGGGTTATTGATTCTATTTCTTCTTTTTTTTGGACAGATCGGACTTCAGTGATCATTCCTATTTATTATTATTTTTTGCATTTTAGGACAGGGTCTACAGGGTCTCACTGCGTACACTGGACTCGTAGTGATCCTCTTGTTTATAGCTTCCCAAGTGCTGGGATTACAGGCACACACCACCACGCCCAGGCTCAATCACTGTCTCAGAGTGCCCTGGGGGCGGGGCTGGCATGCATGAGCACCCTGGGATGGAACTCCTGGCCCGCAGGAGTTTTTAGATCCTTCTTGATTTCCAGCCTTCCAAGAACTGGGATTACAGGCATGCGCCACCACATCCAATCTCAGTGTGCCCGGGGGCAGGGCTGGCAAGGCACACTAGGGATTGAATCCTGGCCCTGGGTCTGCCCAAGCAGAATTTTTGCCAAGTGATTTATAAGTCATTAAGTGCAATTTTGATTCAATTATTATTATTACTAATACTATTTAGGAAAGGCTCATAAAGTTAGTGAAATCAAGACTCAAAAGATAATCTATTAGTATATAAACTAGGGCTAAGGAGATTATTAGTGAAAAATAAAGATTTGTCTAAGAATTATTAGAACCCAGTCAGAAGACAAGGGAAAGTGCAAACTTACCAACCAGAGAAATCTAATTCCATAGCAGAATATACATAAATAAAAAGTGAATCTCCACCTGGGTAGGCAAAGTGTAGAGGTTAGGTAAATGGGAAGAGAGCTACTGGTGAGAAATACACTCCACAGGGATAAACACTGCTATCTAGAAAGCTAGTCTTTGTTTAAAATAAGACTTCCAAGGGGCCAGGGAGGTAG